CCATTCCGAAGAGCGTATCCTGCGACAAGGACGCGGCTCAATGGGCCATCGGAGACTTGCCACTGCAGGAACAAATGCAGCTTTTCTGCACTCCAGCTTTTGACTTGCTGCAAGACTGTCTGCGCAAGGCTTGTAGTGGAGCTTTTCAAGGCTGGGGAGCAGATGCCGTCGTGCAGAACCTCTCCGGCAGAACATGCTCGCGCCGGGCTCAGGACTAAGTGCAGCTTTTCTGCACTCCAACTTTTGACTCGTTGGTGCTAAGGCACGCGGCTTCTTCATTGACGCTTGCTGTCATGCCACAGCCTTATATATAATGTACCACGACTCTTCACGTGCGCTTGCAGAAGCAGACCTTGAAATAGGGTGCTGCTTAAGCAGCTCAAGAAAGAAGGGGCGCGCGCCACGACGAGCTCTTTTCGGCTCCGATCGCTACGCTTTGCTGTCTCACCACGCCGGCAATGCAAAGCGTTACCCTGCACGTCGGGATGACGGCGATGCAGTCGGAGGCGATGCTGTCAGGGCAAGAAGTTCAGGCGACGTGGCGCGGCAGGTGGGGCTTGCGCCCTACTGCAGAGGCCGTGTGTTTGATGCATGTCGTGTGTCTGACCGCCTTTCACTCGACTCAGCCCTTTGCATTAGTTCAGGCTATGGGCTGTCAACGTGCGGCAAGGCTCTGTTGCGATGCATCGAGAGAAACGCCACAGACTCGGACTCTGCAGACAAGAGGCTGAAGCTGGACCCACACACACTGCGCAGCCACGAAATCACGTTTTCGGCCGCAGGTACTTGACCCTCATGGCTCCTTGGCAAGGCTATCACGTAAGGAGAGCGGACGCTTGCAGAGGATGCCGGAGTCGCAGGGATGGTTTCGCCTCTTCATGCCGATGAAAATCGTGCACAAGGCAGACTGCGGCACTGAGCTCTTCCGCGTGTCTGAGGTCTGGGGGTCTGCCGCCGTCTACTCGGATGCGGCAGAGCGCGTGAAAGACGCCTGTGGCTCCACGCACGTGAAGATGACCCCCATGCCCAGCTGGAAGGAGTTTGCCGCCGAGCGCCGCGTGAACTTCGATTGGGGTGTGGTGAGCAAGCTACATTTCATCGAGCTTGCAGAGCTGAAGGAGAGGTGTCGGGCTCATGTGCGCTCATCCCGGGCGAGGCAGAACAACGCCGACTTTGCCAGGCTGGTGGTTGCCTACCTGAAGCCGGTGGCGCACGTGCCAGCCGAGTCCGGGGAGAAAAGGACGTGCTTCGAGCTCTTTGCCTCGAGCGAGACGAGGCACAAGGACGATGTGGTCATTGTCACACACGCGCACACATGCACGCACGCACGCGCGCGCGCGCACGCACACACGCACACACGCACGCGCACGCTCACCCACACACACACACTGACTACTCAGTTTGCGTGATGGGGACCCTTGCAGTCCATGTTTTCGCTACACTTGCCACTCTCGAACATTAGCCAGTTCCGTGGTATGCCTACCCCTCCACGTAAGCGGCGAACCGCCGCAATTGGGGTATCTGTACTCTAGCATGTTCTGGCACAACACAGCGGGCTGTCTGTGGACTGCCGTTTGCTTGCTGCGCCGCGACTTGAGGCCGTGATTTGTTTAGCTTCTGGTTCCACAACAAATCAAATCAACACATAGTATTCATCAGTTTTTTCGGGCCTCTGATTTTGCAACGCTCTTTCCCAGTGGGGCAGCGACTTACCCACAAATCTTGGCTCTGCGACAAAACACTGGAGTTTGACGCGCGCGTGGCAGTCGTGGGGGATTCAGCCATTTGCTGTGCTGGCTGCCGCGTTTTAATGGCCAAATCGCGCGGGGCCACGAACAACGACTTAGCCTTGTTTATGTTTATGTGTTTGTCTGTCTATCTATATCTAATCAATCTAATGTATCTAATTGTTATATTTTTATTCTATCGAATGTATCTTGTCTATCAAATCCGTCTAATCTATCTAACACGTTTAATTTATCCAATCGATCTAATCTATCTCAGTCTATTATCATCTAATATTCTAATCCACACTATCTATATATCTATCCATCCATCTATCTATCTATCTATCCACCTGTCTACCTATCTATCTAGCTGTCCATCTATGTTTTTACTTTTGTACGTCACTGTCTGGCTGTATATCTCTCTCTATACACATGTCCGTTTATCTATTTACTTCTTTATTTATGCATCTATCTCTATATGTCTATCTCTTTACCACTCTATCTATCTGTCGGTATGTCCAAACATCTACTCAATCTAATCTAACCCATTTATTCCCGAATGTGTAGCAGAAGAATACCCGTTTAGAGGTCGGGGGTCTGGGGGTTCGGACGTGACCAGGAGTCGTTGAATTTACGTCCCCAAGCGTTCGTATGTGTTCGCGAGTGCCGCGCTTGCAGCTCCAGTGGGGAAAGCGAAAAACGTGCCAGCTGGATGACTTGAAGCGTGTCATTTTTCGTGCCCCTGTGTGGGAATCATAGCTTCTCAAGCTCGACGTGTCGTTTCACTGCGCAGGCGCCGTGTTTTGGAAGGCTGCGTGTTCTCGTTGCCGTGCCAGTGGGGTTTCCGATCCAGGGGTGGTTGTTTTGAGGTGTCCTGCTTGGCAGGCGCGTGATAGTGTTTGCGCCGGCGCCGTTTTCGTTGGCCCTGTCGTACAATCGGCTTGTTTTCACGACTGCAGATTTGCAAGAAATCGGTCGAAATCATTCTGGCGCTACAGTCCCGCGCTAGTTTTCCGCGCGCAGTGCGAGTGTCGATCAAAAGTGTTGATCAGAAGTGTCCATCAGAAGTGTTGTTGAGAAGTGTCGATCAGATGTGTTGCTCAGAAGTGTCGATTATAGAAGTATGGAGAGAGAGCGAGAGAGAGAGAGAGAGAGAGCGTGAAGAGAGTGAAGAGAGAGAGAGAGAGAGAGAGAGAGAGACGATCAGAAGTGTCCATCTGAAGTGTCAACCAGAAGTGATGTTCAGAAGTGTCGATCAGAAGTGTTGATCGCAAGTTTCGATCAGAAGTGTCGTTTAGTAGTGTTAACTAAGACAAGAGACGTGGCAAGAGACGTGACAAGCTGCATTTCTCAGAAGTGTCGCTCAGAAGTGTCGATCAGAAGTGTCGACCAGAATCGTTCAGAAGTGTCGGTCAGCAGTGTTGATCAGAAGTGTTGCTCAGAAGTGTCGCGTCGCTCAGAAGTGCTAATCTGAAGTGTCGATCAGCAGCATCGATCACAAGAGTTGTTCAGAAGTCTTGCTCAGAAGTGTCGCATCGCTCAGAAGTGTGGCTCAGAAATGTCAAATAGAAGCGTTGCTCAGATGTCTCGATCAGAAGCGTCGATCAGAAGTTTTCACCAGAATTGTCGCTCGTGTCGCTCATGCATGAAGTGTCGCTCAGCAGTGTCGATCAAAAGTGTTGCTCAGAAGTGTCGACCAGAAGCGTTGCTCGGATTGAAGTGTTGCTCAGAAGTGTCGGTCAGAAGTGTTGCTCAGAAGTGTCGATCAGAGGTGTTGCTCAGAAGCGTCGATCAGAGGTGTTGCTCAGAAGCGTCGCTCATAAGTGTCGACCAGAAGTGTTGCTCATAAGTGTCGACCAGAGGCGTTGCTCGGATCGAAGTGTTGCTCAGAAGTGTCGATCAAAAGTGTCGATCAGATGTGTTGCTCAGAAGCGCCGCTCAGAAGTGTCACTCAGGAAGTGTCGCTCATGAGGGGTGTCGCTCAGATATGTGTGTGTAGAAGTGTCGCTCGAATCGTCGCTTAGGAGTGTCGCCCAGGAGTGTTGCTGATGTGCGTGTAGAAGTGCATGTGGCTCAGAAGTGTCGCTCAGAGGTGTTGTCCGCAGTGTCGCTCAGGAGTATCGCTCAGAAGTGTTGCTCGGAAGTGTTGCCCAGATGTGTCGCTCACAAATGTTGGAGTGTCGCTCAAAAGTGTCGCTCAGATAGAAATGTTGCCCGAACTGTCGCTCAGGAGTGTCGCTCAAAAGCGTCGCTTACGTGTATGTGTGTGTGTGTAAAGTGTAAAAGTGTCACTTGAAGTGTTGCTCAGAAGTGTCGCTTATGTGTGAGTGTGTAGAGGTGTCGCTCAGTTTGCCGTAGTTTGTCGCTCAGATCTATGGCTTCAGGATTGGAGCTTGGCGCTTAGATGTGTCAATCAGAGGTGTCGCTTAGGAGCGTAATTCGAAATATCGCTTGTAAGTGCGTGTTCAGAAGTGTCGCCGTTGCTCAAGCTCTTGCTCAGAAGCGTCTCTCAAAAGTGTCAGTGACAAAAGTCGCTTACGAGTGTTGCGTTGAAGAATATTTAGAGGTGTCGGTTGCTCAAAACGTCGCTCAAAACATGTCTCCAGCTGGACAACATTGCACGAGTTGACGAAATGCGCATGCCCAAGGCCATCTTTTGCATTCGGGTTCGTGGCTTGTATCAGGTTTTGTTTTTGTATCTAATTTCTCCGCTTTGCTTGCTTGTTTTAATTCCGTCTAATATATCTAATTTATCTAATCTATCCAACAATCTATCTGATCTATTCAATCTATCTAATCCACCTAATTTTTCTAATCTCGTCAATCTGTCTAATCTAGCTGAGTTATTCTATTATTTTCTGTCCTATTCTAATCCAATGGTTCTAATCTATCTAAGTTATTCGATTATATTCTGTTCTATTCTAATCTAACCTATAATCTATCGATCCATTTTCCGGTTGGGTTTGTTTCAATATCGGGGGATTCCTTAACCAAAGACCGTATTTTTCGGAGCTTTGAGCTTTGCGTCTTGAAGCCCGAGTTTCAAACATGGTTTCTTGCTCACTTGCCTCCATGGGTTGTGGAAAACACAGATTGTGCGTTTTGGGGCGCGTTCATACCACACAAGCTCCACGAGCAGGTCCGCAAAAACCAGCTCTTACGCAGGGCGCAATGGCTGCTAGTGTCATGTACAGGGGTAGTAGCCCGATCCAAAGCGACGCAGCGGCGCGAAGAACTTTTCCTCTTGACAAGCCTGCGTTAGGCTTGGCCTCGATGTCCTGGAAGAGCGGCGAGCCCTTCGGCAGGCACGCCGGCTGCGCGGATTTTAAGCAGCGGTTGCGGCTCCTTTCAAAGGTTCTCGTCGTCGAGGGGGTGACGCAGAGGTCCAGTTCTATTTTTGTTTGTTTTGATTAATCTTAGACTTTTGTTCCAGGTAATTATTTCTGGTTCTGAGGTGAGTTTCCTTGGTGAGGGTTTCAGGGGAAGTGGGAGCTCGATGGAAGCAAGCAAGCTGAAATGTATATAGAAATATATATATATATATTCACATGGAGCCCCATTTCAGGAACGTGTTTTTGCGCAAGTCTTCAAAAGGAGTGTTGGCTTGTTCTCGGAACCGGCTTGGCCGGGACTTTGAAACCTGGAGCCTTGACGCCAAGCTGTCCCCTTTGATAGGGTACCCTACAGGAAACGGACCCATATGGACCACAGGGCTACCAAAAAACGGTCCCCCCAGATAGGAGAGTCCCAAAAACATCCGAGCTTTGCATATTTTGCAACCAGGGCTACCGGTATCCCTGAGAGGAGAGCGAAACCTATTTTGTTTCCAGGCCAGGGTTGTGCAGCAACTTATCCTAGGGGCACCTCCTAAGTGAAGTCGCGGGGATGGGAATGTATCACTTAACGATATCACAGCTTTCGGGTTATGTCCAACCCTGTGTGCCATGGTGAAGAGGTTTTTGTGGTTGGTATGGTCATCAACCCCTCAGTTTAGACAATGAGAGTTCCTCTTCCACACTCCCTTTAAACTTGTGGCTTCCTTGAAAGGAATTCGGGTCATTCCCCACAGGATTTTCGTGAGGGGCTAGCCCAAACAAGCCCCAAATAAGGCCTCTCCCTCCCCTCTTCCTCCCCCCCAGCCCTCATGAGATGTTTTTCTCAGCCATGGCAGGCCACGGCAGCACATGATCATGTCGGTGGTGAACGTCTTTACGTCCATGCAGCAGCCGCTCCTGAACCTCGGTTTCCGAGACGATCCAAGACTTGCGATCGGTGCGAAATCGGGGAATGAGACATGGAAGGAACCCACCATAATCTGAACATTGGTTTTTTGTGCACCATTGTTTTTTGTGTTTTTTTTCAGGAAGGAGGACTACACGCACCTCTTCAAGGGCACAGACCATGAGGCGGAGCTGACCAAAGCCTGGAAGAACTTCCAAGGCTACCTCCAGGAGGCGGGGAACGCGTGCCGGAAGCGTGAGAACGAAGCCTCAAATGGTTTCAGTGTTTCTCCTTGTAGTCTTATTATACGCCAGGAGAAAAAAAGGGAACCCCAAAAAAGGGAACCCAATCAAAACCTGGGTAGATGAATTCGAAGGTTAGTAAGGGATGATCCCCTGGCCATAAATAGCTGCGGATATCCGCCTTCTTAGTTCCTTACATGGTTCTGGCACCATTTTTGTACCGGGTTTTGATTATGACTCAAATGGCTTCGCTGTTTCTCCTTGTATTCGAACTAGCGCCAGGAAAAGAGAGGGAACCTACAAACTGGACACCAGGTGTTGGATGCGAGTCCGAAGCCTCGAGGCTTCCCCTTTCCACCCGGAGGTGAACTGGTTGAGCCCTTTTCTCTGGGCCCGGGAAACCAGCAGGAACCGGGTTTGTCTGAGGTCCCTTGTTAAAAAACATGGAACAATCACAGTTGGCTGTAGTCCAACTGGTCTCCTTTTGGTATCCCCTCAAACAACAATCAAACACACAGACACACACAAGACACACAAACACACAGACACACAAACACAGAGTGGGAGGTGCACGTACATTTGCAGAGAACACCTATGTTGCCAGAGAAACCTCCAAATCAGATAATACGCGTACTTGAAGAGTACTTGTCTATCTCGAAGATTTGGAGCATGTTCAAAAACCCGCTTCCTTTGGATCATGTTCTGACAGACGTCTGTATCCTAAAAAGCCTCAGTCTTCCTTAACCGCAGGCCTTGGGACAAACTTCGGCCGAGTGCCCTTCTGGGCCCTGAGAACCGCACCCCAAGCCAAGCATTGTGGTTGTGGGTCCTTGCAAGCGAAGAGCAAACTAAATTTTGGTGCAGTTGGCCAAGGGATGTTAGGACTTTAACTTTTTGCCAACTAATGGGTGTTCCGTATTAAACCACTAAATGTTAAACTTTTCGCAGGGGAGCAGAAAGCAACCAAGTATATGCAGAAATGGGTTGCCATCTCTGTGTTTCTCTTATTTTCAGGCGCGCGCATATTTTCGGGCACGGCCGTATTTGTCGTGTTTGCCACCTGAGTAGCTTAATACCAACAAGCAGAGTATGAATTGAAACCCGGAGGAAAAGGCCGGGGGATACTGCAGGAAACCTGGTTTTCCAATTCTTGCTCCATGGCATACTAAGGTTGAATGGGGCTAAAAGCACCCTGCGATTACAGAGTGGCTACGCAAACAAGAACTACAAAAGAAAGACCGGAAGATAGAAAGGGGGAACAAAGGAACGAAAGAAAGAATAGATATAGAAACGAATACAGAAATAAAGAACAGAACCGAACAGAGAAGCAAGAAAGGGAACCCACAAACAAAGCAAGACATAATGCGAGAAAGCGCAAGAAACCGGCGGTGAAAAACCAACCATAACCGAGACTTGTTTGTCGGTCACCCCGCGATCCAAAAAGAAATGCGCCAGGTGGAAGAGGAGTGTGGGAGGGGGTGTGAAGAGGTCTGACTCAGTTGTCCGGAGGGAATCGACCTGTGGTACGCGGGGTTGGTCTTGGGTTGATTTAGGGTTGATTTAGGGTTGATGTAGGTTGGTTTGCGTGGTTTCCGGGTGGTTTCGGGCGAGTTTAAAGCTGGACTCAAGTTGAATTCCCTGTTCAATCCAATTACCATTCCCAGGTCCGAGGACATCCAGGACATTGGTGGTTCCCATGGTCACACATATATGGGTTGTCTCAAAATGGTTAGACCTCACGAAGTTGGTGGCTTTCTTTTGGTTTGAGAAACGGCAATCCGTAAAGGGTACCCTTAGAACAAGAGAAACTCCATACAGGGAGTTTTTGAGAACAAAAATAAAGGATCCCTGGAAAAATCGACAGCTGAAGTTGGGGCGCCAGACCTATGTATGCCTTCCTTGGCGCGGACTCGCAATGTCCGACCTTTTGCTGCGACGAACTGATCAACCTGGCGGACGCACAACTCCCCAACCCAAAGAAGTAAGTTGGATTCCTTCCTAAATGGGAGACGCTTCAACCCAAATCAGCACCTTCTATTCATCCTATTTTCCCAAAGCCCTCTTTTAGACACAAAAAACTGCTAATCCATCAACAACCAAGGATCCCTATGTCTTTTAGGCTTGGATATCACTTTTCGGCCCCTCAAGTGAGTCCTAGTTGTAAGCAAATTGACCTTTGAGCTTTCCGATGTTTCTTTTGTGCCATGTTTCTCCAGGTCCCCAAAAGTGTCCTAAAAGGGCAGGTCAGTGCGTGAGTTGAGTGGCCTTAAATGGGTTCTAGCAACTCGCCGAGGGTCACCGGACCTCTTTGCCATCAAACTACCCGAGTATTGGTGTTGGTCAGGCCATTCCTATCGGTGTTTGGCTTGGGTATCGGTTCGGGTAGTCCGGGTTCCTATCATTTGTTTGATGCCAATACTGGCGAGGGGCTGTGTGGCAGCAACTCCCCCGTTGTGTGTTTCTGGGGCCCCAACATAGAACCTGACTACGACATGGTTCGTTCATTTTTGGGACCTGTTCTCTGGCTTGTGGATTCAGGAGATCGACAGGAGGAACGAGAAGCGAAGAATTAAGAACATCAACATGTCGGGGAACTCAGCCAGCGATGTGGCTGTGGGTCAAAACCCTGTCGGTGAACCTAAAAAATAGGTGGTACATGGGTGTTCATCCGCCCCAAAATGGGATCGGCATAGGTTACCCATCCATATCTGCCAAGGATTTTCTTAGCGATTCGGGGTAAGACGAGCTGATCCAGGCATCTGGGTCTCTCTCTCTCTTCGGGGTTCCCCCCATGTTCGGTAAGGGAACCAAAAGGAGAACCATGCATTTGGGGGGTCCCCTAAAAAATGGAACAAAACCCACAGGTCCTGTATAAAATGTATAAACTTGATCCCGTTTTGAGGTTAGATGGATGTCTCTGCAAGTCCGAATAATTCCAGAGCCTCTGGTTTTCCCATCTGAAGGTTGCCAACTTGATGATGGGTGTGTCTTTATAAGGTTGGACCCGCCAACATAGCGGTGTTCCTTTTGGCTTTCCTTTAAAAACTACAAAAAGGGGTACCAACTCCCATTCAAGACACACCCGTTTGCAAGTTTCCTTTTGTTTGCCTGGTGGTAGGGGGTCTGCAGCCGCCTAGCACGTTAGCCGTCCATTGAGAATCAGCCAGTAATTCCGTTCCCATGGTTGGCAATGGCCAGTGGGCTCTTATTAATCACTTCCCATGTGGGAGTTGATGAATATTCCCTTCAGCCCCTAAAGACTATGGCTACCTTTTCACATGAGGGAAGAAAGACCTTAATAGTTTTCCATCCAATGGTCATTGCATGTCCATGGGACCTTCTGACCAACCCACAAGTGAGAATGTTTGGCCCCTCCAAAAGTGCGGCATCCTCTTTCGAGTGGATCGAATGTTTGCGAGCGCTGGTACCCAGGATTTGTACCTCTAGGGAATTCATGATTCCCTCACTTACTAGCCTACAATATGGCTGTGGGTCCAAACCAATGGTACCATTTTGGGGTAGGCGCACCACCCATTTTAGTCTATAGTGGGGATTGGGATGTTCACTGGGGGTACAATTTGGATTTTGCCCCATGGCCATGTAAATGGATTCATAGGGCTTGGTGCTTCGACAGCTCGCCAAGGTCTCCAAAGGTGGTGGAGAGCGCAGTGTCGAAGTAGATCTCTGTTCCGAACCGTTCCGCTGTTCCAGCGGAAGCTGGACACCCACATGGATCTAGATGTCGAATCTAGACGGGCAAGATGTCAATTCGGCATGGATCTGTGTTCTCAGACCTCCAGTGCCTGTTTTGGGCGGGTGGGGTGTCCCTAGATCAATCAAGACGTCTCTTGTTTCTTCTTTGGGGTGCCTTTTTGAACACATCAAGTCAGCCAAGGTCCCTTGAGCCTCGAAACCAAGCAGAACAGAACCTCCTCTTATCCCAAGCAAACATCCACTGGAGGTTTGGGGGTTTGGGGCCAATCAGCAACATCGCTGGTGCATGGACAGCAGAGAAAAAGGTGCTTCCTGAGGCCGGGTCTCAACCTGGCCGGTTTCTTTGTGGATTCGGTGCCGGTCGCACTAGACCCCCCTTCAATTATTTGACTCTTGGGTTCCAATGACACTGCCACTCTACAAGGAACATTGAGGGAGGCAGGCCTCTTTTGGGATCTCTTTTACAAAAATGCTACTTTTGGAGGTTCACTAAATATGGACCAGAATCAAAGATATTCTTTTGGCAAAAGCTGAGGTAGATTCCTCCCAGGGACTGTATTGAAGGAGCGCCAAGGAGTTGCAAACACGTTCCTCCAAGATGTTTTTGCCTTGGCACATGGACACTACCTCTCTGCAGGGATATGGTTGAAACCCTCCGCCATTGGATGACGATGTTCTCCCTTGGTGAAAAAAAACAACCATGGCCTCTTGGAAACGGCTTTTGGCTAACATTCCTTGATTGCTCAGTTGAGCAGACCTCTTAGCCCATTTCGCAGTAGTCGACCCTGGATCAGCCAACCTGGATTGTCAGGGGACCGTTCCAACCTTTTTCAACTCAAAAGATGAGTTGCGGCCTATGAATCAACTCGGGGTTGATCAATTTGTTGGGTCAACATGAAGAACCAAAAAAAGGAGAAAACCACATTTGTTGCTCGCAACTTGCACGACTTCTATTCACTCAAGATGGCTCTGGCATTCCTTGCCGTCAGAGGTTTCCCTGCAAATGGGTTTTACCGTTCACGGCGCGGGGTGCAGGCAAAATGCAGCAAACGACGGTTGGTGACAAGTCAACTCGCAAAGCTCGAGACCACCTGTTGCTTTTTGGGAAATGCAAGGACGCTTTTCTAGCAGTCCAGTAAATTCATCCCACGTGAAGCTGTCTGTCGGCTCCAACTCAGTAACTCGTCGGCTGCTCAATCCTTGGACTTGAGGGATTCGGTGTTACCCAGTATGGTTCCTGTGCTGGGAATCTCGCGTGGGTGGCTTGTCTTTTTGGAGGCTCGGTGCCCCCCTTTTTGCGTGTGTTGAAAGGAAATCAAAAGGAAGACCGAAACCATCTTCGGGGGTTCGTGTCTTACACACGACACTCCCCTTTTTTTGCGCACCTGGCTGATAAGGTTTCTTCCCCAGAA